AGGATTATTGCTAAAACTATAAATATCTCTACTATGTAATTGTAAACTCTTATTTGATATAGTGAATCCTTCTTATTTGCTGGTAGCGGTTTTTCTGGTCTCGAGTTTTTCATGTAAAATATGCGTGTTCTTTCTTTTATTTATTTTATTATTTATTGCATCAATTAAATATCGATTCATAACACAATCTTTATTCATTGGTAATTTTCAAGCTAGAATGCTATTTGTAAACTCTTATTTGATATAGTGAATCGTTCTCATTTGCTGGTAGCGGTTTTTCTCATCTCGAGTTTTTCATATAAAATATGTGTGTTCTTTCGTTTATTTAGTTTATTATTTATTGCATCAATTAAATATCAATTCATAACACAATCTTTATTCATTGGTAATTTTCAAGCTAGAATGCTAACTGGGATAAAGCGCCAAATTGTCGTAAACGCAAGCATGGTGGCGTATAAGGGCCCGTTTGGGACCGCGGTCGCAAGCTTCGCGGCGGCAGGCAGCCAAAATTTTCTGTTTGTTTCGACGTCCCGCGCGCGGCGGGACGTGAATTTGACGGAACGCCAGCCGCGGGTCGAAGCCCGTGGCCCAGCGGCAGCCAAGATTTACCATATACATCCAACCGCTTCCTACGTATTACTCTTTATGGTTATACCACTCAAATCTCTTACATCACGTAAAAATGCCACCATTTTTACTTTTAAAAAGTAAAATACATCTCTAAACGAATACGCATAAGCATAAGTGGCATGTATGTAAAAATTGAAGTTTAGGTGTTAGATACATAATTTCATAGGAATTGAGCGGCATGTATGTAAATTTTCCATCTTATTTTTCAGGCAAAACTGTTTTCTATTGTTTTCCTCTACTGTATATGGATTTTGTACATATATATTACCTGCTAATGACAGAAGAATCCACAAACATCCATCAATAACTTAGAATTAACAATACTCACCATTTATGAGCTTCTAGACCAAAGAATGGAGCAAGGATAATAAATTAGTCATGGAAATTTGTTTTGGAAAATTACATAAACAATGATTATTACAAATTAAACGCCTCGAGATTTTTTTCTGAACTGATGTATTTATGCGTGTCACGATCAAATCATTGGTTTGAAAAAAACTGAGAAGTATTGGTTGGGTTTTACCATAAATTTTGATAATCGAGCGAGAATTTGAAAAATGGATCGAAAGGGCCGTTTTGATTTGTAAATAGCAAGTTTTGGGTGATATGTATGTAATTACAACCTTCATTTTTTTTTTGTTTGCAGTAAATGTGTTTGCAATTACATTCTTTTGTCATATCGATGCTTTATTTCTTTGTTATTGCAAATGAAAATTTGTAATGGCTACAGCTGAAATTTGTAATGATCTCAAATAAGCTCTCAGATTAATTCAATGTCAACTCAAGTCACACCAACATCATCACCATACAATCACTCAATTCAGCTCTTATTCTTATAATTGCCATTTATGCAAAATATAGAATGTTGTGTTAAAACACCACATGCAACAAATGGAGCATGCAAAATATTACTCATTTTGGAAAAATTATTACGGTCGGACTCCGGACGTAGAGATACGCCTGGAGTCTAATGAATCACCTTTACGTGGAGCTGATAAGAAAAAAAAAAAAACTCGTTTTCTTATGATCTGGCCCGGTAATACAGGGGAATATTCATCCCGTGTTATTATGCATTATTCAGGTGTTATTGTGGTGGTATTGATTTGTTATTGCGTTATTATAACACCGAAAATATTCTCATAACACAATAATACATAAATATCACCACAGTAACGCCTAAATAACATGGAATAACACGGGAGAATATTCCCTTGTGCTAAAACAATTTTTTTCTTAAATTTTTCTATCACCTTTACGTGGTTTGATTTTATTGGACTCCAGACGTATCTCTATGTCCGGAGTTCGGTTTGTTCTTCATTTTGGGGTTATTTACATTCATACCAACTAATTCTTTACCTATTTACATATCCAAAATTTTAATTATATTTTTTTATATTTATATCACTTAAATCTCTCATATCACATAAAAAAATACAATTATTTTATCTTTTAAAACATCATAAATGTAAAAGAGCTCAAAGAATAATCTGTGTGATTCAAACCGGCGGCCTCTCGGTGGTGAAAAATTACACCCTCAATCACTATGCTGCAAATAAGTACACATAAAATTTGAAGTTCAGGGTTAGATATGTAAATATATGAGAATTAAGTGATCATATGCTCGTTCTTTGTAATAATTTGCTCGAGACATTAATAATTTTGGTCTAATTTGATTATCTCGTAATTTCAAGTAGTTTGACCTATCGAATAATTTCGTATTCAATAATCGACATGCATAAAATATGTTTAATAAGCCATTTCTTAGATGAATAATGAATAATATAAATAATAAGAAATATGATATAATTCCAAATACTAATTCTAAATGAAAGAAAACAAATTTGAGTTTTCTCTTACAGACCAAGTTTTGATTGTTTGGAGTACATTTTGGAATGCTCAAACGTTTCCTGAAAAATCCTTTTTTTATTATTAGAATTTAAACGTTTCCTGAAAAATCCTTTTTTTATTATTAGAATTTTAGTTATTTGACTTGGTATTTTCATGTGGTTGTGGATAGGGTTGTAATGAGTTGAGCTCAAATATGACTTGCATTCACTCGCTAAAACTTAAATTTTGTGTGAAATTGTCTCGTGTTTGAAATTGCTCGTGAACATTGTGTTCGCGTTCGATTATGTTAACATATTCTTATTTGTGTTCGGCTAGAATTTTATCTCATTTAAATTAAATGGGAATATAGATGTAGGACGTTGGGTTAGAATCTGCACTATTCCTATATAATAAAAGGAACAAAATTGCATAACCATACGAGCTGTAGCAATTTAATATGAGATGTAAATCTATGTAATCTATTATTATATAATAATATATATAATTTTCTTCTTTCGAGATAAAACGAGCTTAACACAATCGAACAAATGATTATTTGTTTCAGCTCGATTATAA